TGATAAAAGAATGGGCAAAGACAACAGACAAATGCAAACCAAAAGAAACATAATATTAACAGGTTGAATTCAAGGCAAAAAAATTAAAGTCCAAAAAGGGCAACTTTTAATAATAAAGGATACCATCTACAACCTGTCATGACTATTTCTGTACCAAATAATTCAAAAGAAAGCATATATCCTTAAGTTACTACATTACTAAACAAATAACTTTTTAAAATAATGAATTTTTTAAAAATAAAAATAATAAAATAATGAATTTAAGAAGCTGGAAAAAGAACAAGACATTTTTTAAAATTAGTTTCTAATTAAAAGGATTGAATCTATAAAAGATCTAGCTAGTGTGTTAAGTAACACTATAGGGATGCAATAGGCAAAATTCAGACTGGAAGAAATTTACAGGATACAGTTTTCAACAAATAAATTACAAAGAAACAAGGAAAAACTATAGACTGAAAGAGAATTATGAGGAGCATCAATGAAACGTGTGGACTTTGCTTCCTGGTTCAAAAAAATTAACTCTACGAACACAATCGTAAGACAGAAATTTGAACACAGACTAGATGTTTCATATTAAAAAATTTGTTGTTAATCAATAATTTTTTCAAAGAGTCTTTATCTTATGGAGATATATACTGAAATATTTTGGGATGAAATAATAGAATGTCTGGGATTGGCTTCAAAATCATCCAGAGGGGAAAGGGGAAAAGGCTGGGGCATGGTATGGAAGAAATATAGTCCATAAGCACTTTAGCCAAAGTGTTTGGCTAAAACAATTTAGCCAAAGTGTTGACAATTCTTGAAGCCTGGTGATGGACACGTGGGAGTTCATTATACTCCTTTTTCTATTTTTGTATATGTTTGAAATTTTCACAATATTAAAAAGCAAATAAAAATGGTTGAATAACAAAAATGTAGATATCCTTATAAGAGAAATGGTGTATATGCTATGATCATAACTATGTAAAAATAAGAATGAATTTGGAAAAGTTATTATAAATTTGTTAGCATAGTGGAATGTGGTAACTTCCCTGATTTCCAAATTCTCTGTAGCATTATGGGATTTTACTTCTATATTTTCACAAAAAGGTTGGGAGTGATCAAGGCCCACTCCACAACCTCTCTTTACATGGGCACAACCTTCTTCCTTACTGTATCACTATGTGAATATCTATGTTAGCACTTATCTTGCAATTGT